TTCTGGGAGGAAATCCCAACTCCTCGTGACGCTCTGTGTGCAGAGGAGAACTGCTGAGTAGGGTCCCCAAGGTTGGGACTTTCCACAAGTAAACGGCCAGGCCTGCCTTCTGAGGTGCCCCTGGGTGGGTTCGACCTGCCAGTCTTCTGGCTCATTGCCCAACACTGCAGTAGTTGGACCACCCAGGCTAGGAGACACACACTGAGCATCCCAACCTGGACTGCTGAGTCGGAAACAGACACCCTGTCAGGGCCTCTCAGACACAAAGATATTCCCCACCTCCCACCCCCACTCTGTTATATCCATAAAGAACAACTTACATTTCCTATGTTCATTTTCTTTGCTCCTTTTATTTTCTAAGAAACACGGCACAGTGACCTCTCAGCATGCCTCACAAGATTTGCAGGCCCTCTTTGCCAAATGTTTGCGGGGACCAGAATCCTTAGAAAAGTCACCCAAACCTTTGGCTTGCCCTCCGATGTTCTTAATTAATGGTACAGGCTTTTGGTAAGGAAAGTTGGATGGGACGTGAAGAATGCAAAGTGAAGTAAGGGCTCAGTTGGTTTTCATAGATGTGAGTAGTGACCTTTGAAAGGAACCAAGACCCAGACGCAGCTGCAGAACAATCACCTGCCTAGAGACGGGAGGCGGGAAACAGGAAAAGCATGGGCGGTGGGGTCTGTAGTATTAGATGCTGCCCATGTGGTATCATTCAGGATGCCTATTGGGGAATGGTCCAAAAATCTGATTGCTATCACATCCATGCTGACTCACAGTGACCCTGTAGGACAGGGCAGCACTGCCCCCCTGGAGTTTCCACGATTGTAACTCTTTACAGGAGTAGAAAGCCCTGTCTTTCTCCTGAGGAGCAGCTGGTGGTTTCGAACTGCTGACCTTGTGGATAGAAGGCCAGTGTTAAACCACTACACCACCACGGCTCCTAAAGAATGGTTATAAGAATTTAAAGAGACCATATGGCGGAGACCCCCTGGAATGCATGTCTGTTCCTTCTCTATTCATAGCATTCTGTACCTGAGTAGTTTAGCACCTCCAAACCTAAGGCCTTTGTGTTGTTAGTTGCCTTCAAATTGATGCCTGCTCTGGTGGCCTCACATGGAGCAGAGCAAAGCATTGCCTGATTCTGTGCCACCTTCACAGTCCGTGGAAAGTTCCAGTCCATCGCTGGGCCATGTGTGAATACCTCCAGATTAGGGAGCTCACCTTCCAGGCTGATAGTGCACAGTGGTTTGTGGTTATCAAAGCACTTTCCTTGGTAGATGTGTGCAATGCAATCAGCAGCTTTCTCCTTAGTCTGTCTTAGTCTGGAAGCTCTACAGCAACTTGTCCACGAAACTTCTGGCATCCAAGCAACAAGCAGTCATTATCGTACAACTCACTGACATATAGGTGTGGCTGTTGTTGTTAGATCCTAGTCCGTCATTAACAACTCCTAGCTACTTTATGTACAACAGAACAAAATGTTGTCTGGCCCTGTGCCTGATCCCACCTTTGTGGCAGCCTGGGGGTATGAACCTTGGACTGCTAACCATAAGGTCAGTAGTTAGAAACCTCCAGCTGCTGGTTAGAGAAAGTTGAGGCTTTCTATTTCCATGAAGAAGTACAATCTTAGAAACTCACAGGGGTACTTCTACCCTGTCCTATGGGGTTGCTATGAGTCAGGATCACTTTGATGGCAGTGAGCTTATCTGTGTGTGTGTGTGTGTGTGTGTGACACATTCACAGTTGTTACATTTGAGCCCATTGTTGCAACCACTGTTTCAATCCATCTCCTGTCAGCCCTTCTTCTTTTCATTGACCTTCCACTTTACCAAGGCAAGGCGTATCCTCTTTCCCAGGAACTGTTCCCTCATGATGACAGCATTGCCACTCAAGCCTTGACCTTTTCCTTTCGTTCTTTCAGCTTGAGAACTGCTGAGTCTGTTCTTCCCTTGGTATTGGGTGGTGGTAGTGGCTTATAATAACAGTGTACTATTGTGTGAGTCCGGGTTGACTAGAGAAACAAATTCATAGACACTCAGGTGTATAAGAAAGAGCTTTATATATGAGAGCAATTGTATATTGAGAAAATATCCCAGCCCAGTCTAGATCAAGTTCATAAGTCCGATATTAGCTCTTATGTCTGATACAATCTATAAATTCCTCTTTAGACTCATGCAACACATGCAATGATGCCAAATGCAGGAAGATCACAGACCAGTGGGTAGAAAGTCTTGTGGATCCAGTGTCAGTGGAAGCATCTCAGCGCTGGCATGGGTCCCCACGTGGCTTTTCCAGTTGCAGGCCTCTGGCATAGCTCCATGTGTCTTGTCACCAGGAATACAAAGCCGAGAGTGTCCCTGACGTCCAGTGAGCTATTTATATCCTTCTAGCCTCCAAATAAGGTCATCAAGGTGCGATTTGATTGACAGACCAACTCCACCCCTTGGCAACTTGACAGAGTATGTAGCTGCCACAAATATTAGCCCTCCTGACTATGTTGGCTTGTTGGTTGAGAGGAATCACCTTTTAACATTTGGGGTCTCTTGTATTTTGCAGAATCCCTGGTGGTGAAGCGGTTATACATTGGGTTGCTAACTGCTAGGTCAGCAGTTCAACACCACCGGCCACTGGTGGGACCAAGACTAGGCTAGAGTTACAGTTTTGAAACCCACAGGGGCGGTTTCCCCATCTTAGAGGTGACTGTGAGTCAGCATCGCTCAATGGCAGTGAATGTGTGGGTTTGGTTTGGTGCTTTGCATGCACTCGGATGAAGTGTGGACTAGGGTGGCTTCTGAGATGGCATCTGCCCTGCCATCACCCCCAGTTAGATGGGGGAACCGTTGGAGATGGTCAGGCATCTCTGTCTTGCCATGGCTAGCCGAAGCTTCCTCACAGCACGGTACTCTCAGTGCATTCAGACTAGTAGTGGGTTATCGGACTCTTCCCAGGGCAAGCTTCCCAAGAGCACAAGGCAGAGTGGACAGCGAGGCTCAGGGCTGTGCTTCTGACATCACTCAGCGTCGCCTTTGCTACATGGTGTTCCGTACCCGGACGAAGGCATGCATAGCTGGGGGTTTGATTTATTGCTTTTATCCTTGTTTTACGTTGCTGAGTCGATTGCAACTCACGGAGCCCCCATGTGTTCACGGCGGGGGGTCATGTTCTGAGACTCACTTCCCTCTGGAGCATGGATGCAAACTCGGGTCCTTCCTCCCCAAGGATACCTTGGGTGACCTGGTTCTTGTGTCCGTTCCCCCAGCGCATGCCCATCTGGACCTCATCCCACACTGCTACTCAGTCCTCCTCGATGTCCGGGCAATGGGACCCAAGACAGCACGTTTTGTTCTTCTGGCTCATGTCAGTGAAACTCAGTGCTGTGAATGGATGCTGGGAGATTCCCCACTCATTTTGAACCCTCATCGAGGGCGGTTCTACTGCCCTGAGAGGACGTGTTGTGTAGACAGAACTGAGGTGAAACAGGGAAAGTGGCCCCAGGAAGAAACGCGGTGTCAGAAACAAAGTCCAAGCACACAGCCGTTTCCATTTCCACTGCAGGCGGGGTTTGTCCTCAAAGGGAGCCCCTCTGGGGAGGAAGGACACCCGAGAACTCCTGGATGCTATGTGTTTGGGAATCAGTGCCAGCCAGCAACTTCCTCGGTCCAGTGCCTCGAGTTTTAAAGATGACAGCTGTTCAGATATGCCATCTTCTTCCCTACACTCATTCAATCATTCATTCATTCATTCAACAAATGGACACGGAACAGCTGCTGTAGGAGGGGAAACGCGTTAGACACTTGGGGAGCTGCAGCAATGAATCGGGCCAGGATCGGGGCAGAGACGGCTCCCACACAGAGCATCCAGGGTTTGGTCTTGCAGGTGGCGTGGGGAGGGGGCATGAACGTAGCCGTGAAGAAGAGCTGCAGCTCTTTCAGGCCATCAGTCTGGTCCGCTGGGGTGGAGATGGCATGGCCTCTCACGACCACCGACACCGTGCTTGTTTGCCCTTGTGCCTGTCACATCACGGGCAGGTAGCCCCAGAGCCAGGCATGTTACTCTAGGAAGGAGAGTGTTTGCTTTGTCCCATAGAAAGTAGTTCCCTCAGAATCCAGCTTCCTAGTGCATTTGCTGCTTGCAGTGGAGTTAATACGTGCTGATCAACCACCCACAGGTTGAAAGGTTCTTGTGGTAAGATGACTTTGATCGGTGTTATCAAAGGGCCAGAGGGCCCCTGGCCATGCCGTGACGAAAGGGCTTGCCTTCTAACTAACAGATCAGTGGTGCGTTCGTGCCCAGCAGCTGTTGTGAAGGAGAAGGACGAGGCAGCCTGCTTCTGTAAGATACACAGTCCCGTGGGGCAGTTCTGCTCCCTCCTGGAGGGTCGCTGTGAGTCTCAGTTGAATGGATGACAGTGAGTTGGGGTTGGTTTTTGTGGTAGCACTTCACACTGACAATACCTATCTCTGGACTGTGATCTTGTAAGCGAAAAGCTGTCTTATTTAATGGTGGAGCCCCCGTGCCTAGCAGTGACCATTCCTGGTACACAGAATATGAATGGGGGAGAGAGAAGATCATCTCCCGTGAAGATTGTGGTTGAGAGGACTCTATGGGGGCCGTTCCACTCTGTCCTACAGTGGTGTCTGTGTTTGGAGATTGGATCTAAATCCTAGGGGACGAGGGAAACCTCCTGAGAAAGCCTAACATTGAGGTTGTCCTCAAAGAACTAGCTGAATGGGGAGTGCTAGCATTACCAAGGACCCAGAGGGCAAATCTCCTGTGGAGGGCCCAGTGCCACCATCGGTGTGCCTCTGGCACATACACTTTTTGCCAAGCTACAGGGGGAGCCGGACCTAGTTGTCTAATAGATTAAATGGTGTTAAGGAAATCCTTGCCTGCCCAACAGGTGCGTGGACATTTCTGCAGGTCCCGTTTCACCATGTTGTTCCACCTCTAGGTTGCTAATGATTCTTCCTTTCTGTTTTTGTCTTTTGCAGAAATCACTCTATCCTCGGCTCCGTGATCCCGTGACTATCACTCCTGTGGTCATTCGTCAAGTTGACCAAGCAGATGGGTGGCGTGTGTTATAGGAATTGGCAGCAATATCCAATGGGTGAGGAAGGTAAGAAGGAGTGAGGTGACTGTATGATTCATGTGGCATTCTGTGTGTGTAGAGGTGGGCATCCCCACAGATGGGAGTCCATGGGGCCCCAAGCCAAAAGTGCTAAGTAGAATATCCGAGGGAGGGAAAGGCCTGTCTTGGGTAAGAGGAATGTGATTATTTATGACTCTTTATTGAGCATCCGTTAGATGCCATGGAAGAATGATCATCTCTTCGGCTACAGATTCAGATGATTGGGAAGGAATTTGGGCGTGATGATAAAGGGTCTTTAAACTCAGTTGGACTGGTTGACAGGAGGTCTGCCCTGCTGGTTTCTTTGCTCTTTTCGGGATATTGAAAATAACTCGGGCATGACCAAGGCAGCTAGTATTTTGAAGGGAGAAAGGTTTAAGAGGCTGAACCTTGCACATCTCCGGGGCCAAGTACTAGACCATGAGCCTGGAGGCCTGCTTTCAGGTCCCAGGCCCAGTGCCACCATCTGAGTGCCTCGGGCACATGCATTCTTTGCTGGGCCACGGGCGGTTGGACCTGGGTGACCTAGTAGTCCCTACATTTTGGCACCCTAGGGATCCATTCACCGTCTCCATTGACTTGGTCAAGACTGGAGCTGTTTTATGGAGTGTCCACACATCCAAGATAGAAATATGAGAATGAATTTTACCAGCATGACTTTCCACCATTTGGGGTTCTAGACCCATCCATCCAAGTGTCCTGCCTGGAACTCAACCCCAGGCATCAAACGCAGCAGACAAATCTGAATGATGGTTTTATCCTTTAAACCTTCACTCCCTTCTGTCTCACACTTCAGTGACAGCCTCAATCACCCACACGAGGGACTAGGGAGGAATCCCTTATGCATCTCAGTCTCTCATCTCCACTGCCAGGTTAGTCCAATTGATTCCTGTTGACTACTCACCAGGGTGCCTCGTATCTGCCTACTGAGCCCCATCCCCACTGCTCTCCACCAGTTCAAAGCCACACTCTTCTCCTCAGTTACTGAGATTGCCAGCTTCCCCGTCTTTATGTGGCTTCTCCAGTAGCCCTTCTCCTCCAGCAGCTCCAGGAAGATCTGCCCACCATTCTTCCAGACACACATCCTAAGCAGTGTCCCTCAGTGCAAACAGGATAGTACTTTGCCACTTACTACACGCCAATGGTAAAGGCCTGGATCATTTTTAAAGCTTCCAGGACTCTCTCCAGATGGAGTCCTGCGTTGGCCTCCTAGCTTCATCTCGCAGGCAGGCCCTCTGCCCACTGACCTTCTCGCTACACATCCAGGCTAGAGGGTAGACATGGCATAGCCATAGTTTCTCACAGCCCCCTCCTCTCTCTTGTCAACTCTACAATCGAGGCCACACTCATCTTGACGTCCAAGCTTGGCTCTCCTGATCTTCACGAGTGTTCCCTGAGACTGCATTCCCTAAGACTGAGCTGTGAGCATCTCGCGATGTTTCCCACTAGCACTCCCTGGGGGCACCAGACCGTCTAGGAGGCTGCAAAAGCAGATTGACCTTGCTTGACCCTGCAGTGTGGGGTACAGTGCAAACGTTTTTAATTACCAGAGAGTGCTGAGTAGAATTTTTCTACCCTAAAAAGTGGGCAAGGGAGAAGTGGACAAATAAGTTTGGGGACCTGTCTTCTAGGCTCTGCTTGAGCTCCCAGGATGACAGCATTTGCCATGGCTTCTGCATTGAGTTGTAGCTGTCAATTTTGGGGGGGCTGAGATTCCTATTTATTTGTTTGTTTATTTCTATATACTTGGCTTTTGAGGATGGTTTGAGGTTAACAGAAACATGACGGAGAGGGGGTCTCAGGTATGAGGGCCCTGTAAAGGTTTGTGGGAATAAATGGCATTGGAAGTAGATGGACTTTTTCCCCAGGAACTTTTGGAAGCCCCCTCCTAGGGCTTCTCCCCCTCTGCACACGCTTTCTCCTGTTGTGAACTTCTTGCCTTCTCCTTGTGTATCTGTCTCACCCAGGGTCCAAGATTGACATACGATGGCTGAGTAAGCTTGCGGGTCCCTCTGTGTGGTACCGCTCTATGGCTTTCACCAGCTGTGTTGTGTCACGGAGGCACCACTAAAGTATCTGGCTGAACAGTTTCATCGCACTTACGATGCCCCCTGCTTCACCCCTTCATCCATCATTGTCAAATGAGCTGTCTTGTCTTCTCAGCTCGACTTGGAGGCTCTTGTGGGCAGATCTGATTTTAGAGCCCACCCTACTCTGGTTGTTAATGCCCTGCCTGAGCCCCATAAACCCAACCCAAGCTTGATAGGATGTATTCATTCAATGACTAGAGACTGGCTTCTCTGTACTCTGAATAGAAGGTGAAGGAGGGGGTAATGCTGCCATAGAAAGTAAAGTCAGAAAAATAGCGCCTAACCTGAGCTGACTATGGGCCAAGCATCCTGCCCAGGTCTTTAAATATATCTCCTCCCTCAATTCTTACAAAAGCCTTACGTCTGGTTCTCATTCTCACTGTGAGTCCATCCATCCTGACTCACAGGGCCCTTGTTTGTGTAGTAGGGGTGGTTAATACAGAAGGGCCCCTGATGGCACAGTGGGTTGTCCTGCTGTCTGCAAGGTTGATGGTTCAAACACACCAGCTGCTCTGTGGAAGAAAGATTTAGTCTTGGAAACCCAAAGGTTCATGTCCAGTCTGTCCCATAGGGTCAGCATGCATCAAAATTGACTCAATAGTTAGGGGTTTGCTTTCTTTGCTTTGTTAATATAAAGTCCCTGAGTGAAACAAACCACTGAGTGCTTGCTTGGCTACTAACCACAAAGTGGATGGTTCAAATCTACACAGAGCTACCTCAGAACAAAACCCTGGTGATCTACTTCCTGAAGATCACCACCATTGAGACCCTGTGGGAGTAAGTTCTATTGTGAAGCACGCATGTCAATGTGTGTTGGGATAGACTCCACAGCTACATCTTCTGGGTGTTCATTTGTTTGTGTGATTTTAATAATACTGTGTTAGGCTGGGTTCTCTCGAGATGCAAAGCCAGTGGTATATATGTGTGTCTACTTGTGTCTATACAAGGCTGGTGGAGCCAGAGGTGGATGAATACCAACTCATGGCTGTTGTGTCCATTGAATCCAGGATCAGTAGGCAATATGGTGGATCACTGAAAGCTCCCAGAGTTGGCAAGTAATATGGCAGGCAGATGACTCAAGTCCAAAGAACCAGAGGTGAATGAGACAGATCCGAGATTCAGGCCAACGAGCAAGAGAGAAAGCGTTCCTATGGAGACTGCTTAAACAGGAATAGGCCACACCCCCAAAGAAACTTCCTTTCCATTGCACCAGGGCTGTGACCTGAGTAAGGAGACTAGCTAGCCTCCTCCCTCGTTCTCTTCCAACTGCTTTCCTAGCCAGATCAGATTTCATCATGCATTGTTGTTTACATGGCATTTTGTTACATTATGGGGAAAGCCTCTCCTACCAAAGACGGAATTCTGGTCCAGTCAAGGTGGCACAAAGCCTAATAAACACAATATTCAAATTTCATAATTGAGAAAACTGATAAGTTCCTTGTCTTTGGGCATATACTTCAAAATACAGAGCCAGATATTTGAACCTGGCAAGTCTGACATGAGCCTGAAACACCACTCCTCCAAGACCCTTCTGCCTGTCCCCAGATGAATGTGCTGCATTATGGACCGCCGTCTTCTCTTCCTCTGGAGGCTCAGGCTTCTCCTGCAGCCGCTGTTCCACAGGGGGCCGGCCTTGGGGTCGGGGCCCACGAAACGTGGCTCTTTCCCACGTGTTCTACACTGAGCTGTGAGTGTGAGCCTGTGGGGACATGTGGCTCGGAGCGCCCTCCCTTCTCCTCCTCAGCCTCTGCTCAGCATTTACTTTATTATGAGCAGAAACCATGCGCGGAGACCTGGAGTGGAGGATGTACTTCCTCCCAGTACACCAAGAAAGCAACTGAACTACCAAAGCAACGCAAGTCACCGCCATCAGGGTCCATGCAGTTTCCAAGACTAGAACTCTTCATGGGCGTGGACGGCCCAATGCCCCACCCGCAGCACCCGCAAGAGTTCCTTCAAGGACCTGGAAGCTGCGTGGCCGCTCCTCTCTCCACGCCCTCGCTGCTCTCCATTGCTCGGAAGCCTGGCTTATGGGACCAAGCCTGTTCCTCCTGTGGACCAGGCTGTGAATGATGGTCCTCCCTCCTCTCCACTTCCTCAGCCCTTTGCATTCCTCAATGGGAGATGCCAATGCCATTTCCTGTGTTCCTTGCTAATGGGAACCATTAGAATGCAGTAGCAATGGAGCAGATTCAGTGTTTGAATTCCGTTTCTTTTCGAGGAATTCCATTAGACTTCTAAATTCCCACATGGATATTAAGAACAGCCTAAATTGAAGAATTCGACATTGCTTTTAATCCAGGAAGAGGGGAGGTAAAAATATCTTGATTTAAAAGCACTGCAGAGTGGCTGCAGGGGGGCAGCTCTTTCATCTTTTAAAAAAAAAAAATCATTGTATTGGGGGCTCTCACAGCTCTTGTTAAAAACCATACCTCAGTTGTATCCGGCATATTCATACATAGATTCCATCGTTCTTTTCTAGACATTTACTTTCCATTGAGCCCTTGGGATCAGCTCCTCTTTTTTTCCTTCCCTCCTCCCCCCCCCAAACCTCGTGCCCCCCTAATAGATTGTAGAGTGTTAATTATTTTCAAATCTCACTCTGACCGACCACTCTCTCCCTTCCCCTCTGGTGTCTGTTGTTCTTCCCCCTGGATGGGGGTGTGTGGCTATGTGCCATTCATTGCGATCGGTGCCCCCTCCCTCCCCACCTCACCCCCTGCCCCCTACCCTTTTGGGATCTCTCTTCCCATTCTTGTCCCTCGGCTCCATGTGTTATGAGTTTTATTTCTTGCCTATACCTATGTACATGCTCCCATCTAGCTTCTTGCTTTGCAGAGAGGAATTGATCTGTCTAGGGAGGATGAGGAAAGGACAGGGGGAGTGGGGGAGAGGCAC